CCTGAATATAAATGTAATAAATGTGTTGCTAATGACTCAAAAAGCATTTATCTAGTAGAAAATAAAATTAGCAATTTAAAAAATGAAGATTTTAAGGTCAAAAATAATTATTATTATAATAATAATGATAATAATAATACAAAAATTAAATTTTGTTTTTTAGGGTTTATTATTCCAATTATTTTATTTGGAATTTATTATACAATAAGAAGACTTAAACAAATTTAAATGTGTTCACTTTGTCTGGTTTTGTTGCAGTATACCCCATATAATATTTAATATTTAACGATGATGTCATTCTTGCATGTTGACATCAATACAATTCTTAAAATATTCCCATCAATCGGTAATAACCTAATCAGGAACTTCCCATTTAATTGGGATTTCTATTTTTCAAACAATTCCTTTTTTTTTTCGTTCACTACAATCAAGTTACCCACATCAATGACAGTTCCCCCACATTTTTTATTGTACAAATGTGGTTCTCGAGTTTTTTTTTTGACGCATAAAGTAATAACGCGGTTTATAATTTAATTTGTATTGGTAATTCACGGGTAAAAAAAAAAAAAAATAAATAAATAAATAAATTTGACAGAGATGCTTGAAGGCGATCAAACGTATTTCCACGAGACATTGATCAAATTAAGTTAAATTTTCCTAATTTAGAATTAAAATCAAATTTGGTATATAAAAAAAAATGGGGAAACTTTTTTGTGAATAAGATGTATCTAATCTAAAAAGTTGTTATCGATTAGAAAAGATGAATAAAATCGTTTAGACGTTTATTTTCTTTCTTTCTTTTATTAAGAGAAACAAAAATCTCTCTTGATTTAATAAAACGTTACATTGTAACACACACCTCATAAATGTATACAATCCGTAGCATCGTTGGTATTATACGATTAATAAGCGCAGTCAATAAGTAATTAACAATCATTGTTTTTTTGGTATTGAATTTCATGATTGACAATAATATTGTTTCAATTCCTGTAACCAAATTTGTGATCTAAAACTATAAAAACTTTGGAAAACAAATTAAAAAAAAAAAAAATGATATTATCATTAGAATATTGTTGCCACGCGAAAACATCAAAGGTAAATCATAAAAGCAAATTTTGCGAACCCAGGATTTTACAATATGTTAAATTGATTATTTAATCAGCTAATGAATTTTACATGTGTTAAATTTCAGTTTTGTTTGCCGAATTTAAAATCATAATAAGATTATATTAACTTTATCGGGAAAATATTAAACAAAAAAAATAAATTGTATCAAATTTATAAACCCAAATTCCTTTCTTTATTTTTTGTTTTATTATTTCCGGTATAATGCAACTAAAAAAAAAAATAAGATCAAAATGATGTCCTTTAAAGAATTTAATAAAACTGAAATTAGTTCACAAAAAAAAAGTGATTGAGTTGACTGGCCAAGAATTCATGGGACCTCTTTAAGAAACATGATTTGAATGACTGACCAAGTTATTTGATTGAAAGGAAATTTAATTTAAGGCACGCCTAAAGCATTAATCCTTTTATGTCATTCTAGAAGAAAAAACGTTAAAGACGCATAATTCTCTCTTAGGCATTGAGGAGTAAATAAATATAAATAGTAAATAGTAAATATTTTTCCGTTTGTTCCGGTGGTGATGTTTATGTAACTTCCCTTTTTGCGCCATTTATCACTAGTCAAATAAGGAAAATATCTGAACTCGGTGAAATTTCGGCGCAGTGCATAAAACAAATCCGGAGTATAAACAACAATCCGAAATTAAAAACCGACTACTAAAATTGTATAAGCGCACTTTTGGCTAGTTGGTTTTGGTTTTACTGCGCCATTCAAGCAAAATTACTTTTTGGGGGCTAATTTAATATTTGTGCGAGACAATTGATCTATAAATACGAATATGAATATATATGCTGATAATCCAATAATAATTATCTTTGAATACGTAAAAATTAGAGATTGTATGCAATAAATTTCGGTTATAATCAAACATGGCATTTCATTTTTTTTTTGATTATCTCAGAGATAATAATTTATACTTGGGCTAAAAGTATACGTTATCTTATTGATATGGAGTTTCAAAAGAAAAGTTTCGAACGAATAAGAACCAAAGTTTAAATTTATTATTCTCTTATCAACATACTGATTGAAAAACCTTCTCAAAATTACGGCATCATATCATCATTAATTATTATTGGTCTAAATTTGGTGATTTAATGATTCTCTCTTTTTTTTTTTTTTTTTTTACTATTATAGGATTAGATTTACAATGCTTCGCATTGAATACACACGACTATAGAACTTAAGTGAAAGATAATGTCGAGCATTTTACTCTTAATAAGGTGTTTTGGGTTTCAAAAATTACATTTCAAATGATATCTCTAAATTAAAGTATACACTATATATATATTTATATTAAAGATTTTTAATTTATTTATAAATAATTGCGTATTTGTGGAAATAAATAAAAAAATCACTATCGTACAACATAATAAATTTCTAAGCATCTCATTAATCGAATATTTTTATTCGATAATGATTGTTTATCTGTTTAATATCAACCCAAGTCTCATTGAACATATCAAATAGGTAAATGTAACACAATTTCATCGGTAAATGGAAATTTAGAATTAAAAATTGTATCAATCAAAAAATGTTGAGTCGAATTCGATTTAAAAATTACACACCTATAAATAGAAGTACTATATTGACTTTCCATTTTAGGTCATTCACCCGAATTGGGGTAGGCTAAATAAATTGCAATTTTTGATTGGCTCATATGTTTTAAGAAAGATATCATGAATTACTTTATATGGAGGCAATGGATTTCTCACATGTCAATGAAGTTCAGACTTTGACAACTTAGGAAATGTTCAGAGAACAATGGTTTCTAGAAAGTGAATAAATTTGGTTAAAGTCGAAAGTCATGTGCCACATGATGACTTCTTTATATCAATTTAGTATATTTTACCTTAAAAACGCACGTTTTTGTTAACAACAAACATTGCATTGGCTGAACGTGTAAAAAAATGTGGCGCAAATGAATTCCTAAATCGTAACAATTTTTTTGTGATTGATAACCAATATTATGCATATTGGAATCTATTGTAACGGGCGACAAATGAATTTTTGTTGAAACACATTCACAAACCATCTTCTATACCAATTATTGATTGATTGAAACGATGATGAGAAATATAAACCATTTTTATCTGATATTTCTGGATAAACCAATTGTCCGTTTTACATGCGTAGCTTTATAACAAAAGGAAATGAGCGATCTAAAATTTTTAATTTACCAAAAATTACCTTAATTAGGAGTTATTTTAGTAAATAAGGATTTTTATTCAATCAAGATTTATAATTTTTTTTTTTTTTTGAAGAAATTTACGTAAACATCCGAAATACGATGGTACGTATTTAAATCATATCTTGATTCTATCACCGATATATCTTATATCGTCAATTATTATCAAAAAAAAAAAATTTTTTTTTATTAATATATTTTTATATTTCCATATGATTTAAAAATATTTTTCGTGATCTACCTTCTATTTAAACTGTAATAGTAATATACGAAATAATTTATATGTCTTATCTCAGCTTATCTGTTATTTATTTACAGCAGCCATTTTTTTTCAATGCATCAAGTCCTAGCCCCAATTCAATATGCAAGTTTCCCTTTTTAAATGGAGTTGAAATGTAACTCCCTAATCGGATATTATGATTCTTTTCATTGGTGCAAATCGCATTTATAAATTTTTTTTTTTTTTTTTTTTTTTACAATTTAATATAAAATTTTAGTTTAGTATATAGCTCATTGTATATAAGGCTTTGTTAAAAGTTGTTTATTATTATTATTTTTTTTTAAAAACCACAGAGGCGAATATATTATAATTTATATTGTACTTCCGATTTTATACGTGGACCTTCCAATAGTGATAACGTACATAAAATTAAAAAAAAAATTATACAATAAAAATTCAAAACTTCTCTTCCTTAGCGAACGCCTTTGTTACCTTACTTTTACTAGAACGAAAATTTTTTTTAAATATAAAAATATTTTTTTCGCGTATCATCGATTTTTATCTTTTCGCGGAGATTTTACTACTGCATATTTCTGCATTTTTCCAGGTTTTACCGAGAATTTTTTTAATATAACAGGAAAAAAAAAAATAGCCACATAATATACATCTTAATTTTTCTTTTTGTTCAAATATTTAAACCCTCAATTTTGACAATGGCTTTCTGACCTTTGCGAAAAAAAGGCATCATTGCTAATTTGCATCGCCTTTGTCACGAAGTTGACAAATTAATAATTTTTTTATTTTTTTTTACTCCTTCTCCTTGTGTAGTAGTCACAACTCATTTTTTTTTTTCATTTCTTTTATTTTCCTTTTTTTTTTTTGCACACAAAATCAATAAATAATAACTCGTTCAAATAACATTTTTTTTTTAATTCCTAATATCGTTCTGTTGATATTACTTACATTTTGACTACGAAAAATTTTTTCTTTTTCTTTTTTTTTAATTACCACGATAAATTTCGAATTGTGATAATTTCCTTTTTGTTCTTTCATAAACAACAAACCGAATCAAATCGAATTTCGAATTTTCTTAACCGTTTATCTTTTGCATGAGCCTCCTCTTGTAAATTATAACCACGCGCTCAATCCTACACACAATACCTTTTTTTTTTGATTCGCTCATTATAATTAAAATTTTTTATTCCATTATTTATTTTGTAAAGCAGGCTTTCAACTCATAAATATTGCTCGAATCAATCATCTTACAATTAGATTGAAGAGAAACATTAAGATTCTCTTATCATCTAATTTTTTTTTTTTTTCCTGTTTTAAAAATAAAATCTCGAGAAAATCACTTCTTTTTGTTTTTAGAAGCAGTTAAGCCACCACACACGAAAATAAATAAAAAAAATTTCATTCATTGATAAAACAATCAAAAAACAAAAAAAAAAACACACACACACACAGCAATGCCTTGCAGTTTAATTCTTAACAATAACGGAGATAATGTTTTAGGAGGCGGAGATTCCCTTATGTGTAAGTATTGTTATAATTTAATCATTCAAAAAAACTCATTTTCCGTCAATCTTCAAAGCGATTATGTACTGCTTTGGTTGCGTTTAATTTAAAGTGAACCAATTGTTTTAAGTTTCAAAAGTGATGAACATATAGATATTTTATTGTGATTGCTGTGATACATCCTTTTTGTACTTATAGAAGCATTTGCAGATTTCAGATTTCATCTAAAATGTTTCATTAAACTAAACATGATTTTTATTTTTTTTTTTAAAAAAAAAAGCTTTTACTGCGGGTTCTTGTGACTCTGTACTCCGATGTTCCAAACGATCCTTCAAAAACGCTTCCTTACCCAATCTCCTTCATTTTATTAAAGATATTACCGCAAAATCGAATGTCTCCAAAGTGACAATGATTGTCGGATTGATTTACGTTCATAGGTTAAAGAAAACTTTACCTAAAACAGCCCGTGGAGCCTTTGATACCCCTTACAAGATCTTTTTATCGGCTATCTTAGTAGCAAGTAAATATTTAAGTGATCATTCTCTTCAAAACAAGACCATCGCAGATATCACAAGTGGTCTTTACACCGTTAAAGACGTAAATACAATGGAACGTTCTTTTCTTGGCCTGTTGAAATATAATCTTTGGGTTGATGCCGACGATTTCAAAACTTTTTTGGAAGAACATCAAGTTGAATTGGATGTTGATTGGACCCGTGACGATATTTAATTTTGTGGCATCAAACGTCAATAATCGCGACAATTTTTTTTAAACGAACAACATTTTCATTTTTCTTGCCGACTTTTCTAATTTTTTTCTTTTTTACATTTATCAATAATTTCGTCTATTTATTATCATAATTTAAACTTCATATTTTACGACCGGTTTTAGGTCTTTGTAAATTATCACATATAATTACCAGCAACACCAAGACTTTAATGTTTTCTTCCCCTTTCCATTTTTTTTTTTTTATCCGAAAATTTTATACGCATTTAAATTAATAGATTTTTATAGATTCCCCCTTTTTATTATATATAGATTTCATTATTATAGAGTGAGTGGGATAACATCGTATATATAGATTCCAAAGAAAAGAAAATATTTATATTAATATTAAGATATAATTTCGCGCGAATTTGATATTTTGTATATCCGTTTCTATATATATATATAATATCGAACTTTTACAACAAAACCTTGTATAAATATTTTTTTTCTTCAAAAAAAATTTTAAAATCCCTAAAATTGTAAATACTTTATATAGACAAATTTTTCTTCCCCTTTCCATTACTTTTTTGCATTAATTTTTTTCTTGGTTATATTAAAACATCAAAAATTCATGACTATGTTAAAACCAAACATCATTTTTATATAGCTTTAAATCACGTACAGCTTTTTCTTCATATCACTTTGTTGATATAAATTAAGATATTTATTTTTTATTTACAAATTTATGATTTTTTACTTTAAAAAAAAAAAAATAATGTAAGAAACTATTTTAATGTAATTTTAAACTGCCAAGAAAAAAATAAAAAATTAAAAACATTTACCAACTAATTTTCTATACTGAAAAAGAACTTTTTAAAGAAAATTATCTTTTATGTGATTTCGCGTTTTATCTATAGACGCGTTCCAATTTTTTTTTTTAAAAAAAAACCCAAGGTGTCGAAATGCATTAAATGTTCTATGATAATTGGTTTTGGCTCAACATAGTCATTGAGAGATAACTTTATGTATTACTGATATTTTGATTAATAGTTTTCTTTGTCTTCTTTTTTTTTTTACATGATTACGATAAAGTTTTCAGGAGAAGAAATGACTCGGTTCAACGGAATTTTCTAAAAAGAAGATTCCGTAAAAATCATAATGAGAACCTTTTGAGCAGGATTTTACTTTTTTACTTATCCAGGATCCAAAACGAGTTCGTTTCCATGTAAATCATAAAAACGTAACGATAGGGATTGTAAATTATTGGTCCCAAAGAAAAAGAATTATTGTTTAATGATTTAATATGTACGTGTAGGCAGAATAAAAGAAACTTTAAAAAGTTATAATGATTAAAAAGAGATTACGTAATATATGAATCAGGAATTTATAATATAAATTTAGGTAAGTTTCTAATTTTAAAGTTATGAATATTTTTTTTGTTGTTGCTTTTAACCGTGCATTAAAAAAAATAAATTTTTTTTTTTCATTCGTTATGTTTTCACAATTATCATTATTAGAATTATATTAACGTGATCAACATGGTCACACCACCAATAAATGATTTGACGAGAGGAAAAAACGTGGAAATGTGGAAATAATATAAGGTTTTCTTTTCAAATGCAATGCAAATGCACATCGGTTATAATAACATTTCTCAAACCTAGATAAGATTTATTCACTTGTTTTTCAATTTGGGGTTGATTACGCAAACAAAAAGAAAAAAAAAATAAGAAAAATTTGAAAAAAAAAAAAAAAAAAAAAATTAAAGAAAATATCATAAAAAGAGATGTATGTGACAATGCTTTTCTTTTGACATCAATTTGCCTGTCGATGACATTGTTTTCTTTTTTTTCTTTGTTTTGTTTTAAAAAAAAAAAGAAAAAAAAAAATTTTTTTTTTTTTTTGTCACCTCAAATTGGGTTCATTCAGGTTATCAATTTTCCGAAACTCCAAAACATCTTTTAAAAAATGCATAATCAGATATTCGGATGGATTATAACATCCGAACAAGAAATAATTTATCATATATGGAATTTTTGTAATTTAACCTCCGAATGAACTCCATACCGCGGTTTCTTTTTTAAAAACGGAATTTTCGTTCGTCGCTGTGCCACATCACCAATCAGTCTATTGTTGTTTAAAAATAACAATAACAATAATTCAATCATTTTTGATACAATCAATTACATTTACAAAAACGGAAATACTGTTATAAGGGTCGGCTGCGGAGAAATGCCGATGCAAGGTAGATAACGTAAGTAACCCCCAGGCTTTCATAACACGGAATTAAGTTCCAAATTTATCTTTTGATCCATACACGAATTTTTTTTTTATTAAAACAAAAAAAAAAAAAAAAATTCTTTGTTCCTTTTCATTTATTTCACATGTGAAATCCGCTTCAACGTATCAAAAAAAATTTCTCTCTACTATAAAGTAGGTCTTGTTATTTACATGTTTCATACAATCGCGGCGCATCCTTACTGCATGTTTTTTGTTCATCCAATCAACAAAATGATTGATTGAATGACGCCAAATATCCATAAAACCTTTTGATTTTTTCAGTTCGAATTTAATCCGAAATGCTATGAAATATTCCGGATTTTTTTTCTCGAGAAAAAAAAAAAAAACTATAATTATCGTGACCATTGCCAAGAAAACTGCGCCGCCGTATTTATTCCCCTCCTTTTTTGCAAAACATTGTTTTTTTTTGTTTTTTTCTTTTTCTTCTTTTTCTGAAGATTTACATTGCGGTTTGCATTAAATTGAAAAAAAATCACATAAACTACATTATTCTTGATACTACCTTGATGCACACGCGTTCACAATATTGTTGTATGATAATGCAGGCTCATCATCCATCATATTTATATGATGCGTAATCTTTACGTAAATTTTCTCCGACATAATTTAAATTCGAATTGTTGATCATAGGTCTTGAAGAGACATTAACTATTGTAAAACTATAGTATGTATCACGAAAAGAAAATTTTTTTAGGTAACACAAAAAGTTCTAAAATGAACGAAAGACGACGAGATTGTAAACCTCGATAACTAATTTGCGAATTTGGCTTCATTATTAACAATACATGATTAGTCGTTTACAATTCCGCGTTAAATATTTATCTTTACGCCAAAAAAGACCGCAATGACCGTCAAACAAGTCACACCAAGAAAAAAAAAAAATTTCCTGATCCTAACTTGTAAAAGAGATAAAAAAGCAAGATCATCTAATCGCGTGCGCATCAAAATAATAATAACAAAACTGTCAAAAGGACCCTGCATGAATTTTATGTTTTAACTACCAATCTCATGAATGGTTTTGAAAAAAAAAGATTCTTTATCTAAAGAAAGAAAACTTTTTTCCTTTAATTGTTGGCGGTTTGTTGTGGTGGTGGTTGTTTGTTGTAGGATATGAATGGTAATTGGTTCATTGATTGGCGTCAGTAATGTTGCGGGTCATAGCGGTCCATTTACAACGGCGCGCATTTTTTTTTTTTTTCTTCCTCGAATTTAATTGTCAAGAAAATCTTTATGAAATAAACTACCAAACTTTTTTTTTTTATTTCTTGAGCTTCCCACCTTCTTCCTTTTCAAATAAATGTGTAACTGATTCGATTTATCATCGATAGATTAACCAGTTAAAAAAAACAATGGTCATAACCGTTACGTGAGTTACGTGACACGGCTCGCGCATGAAAATGCGCCACTTTATCACGTGATAAATATTGCAAAATCTTAGCTCCAGCCGGAATTAATTCCCTTGTAATGAAAATTTTACCGACATTACCAACCTCTGTAACTCGGGCCCGGTGAAGGTGCCAGGCCGAATTAAATTTCCAAACCAGGTGATAATTTTTACAACGGATTAATGGGAATTCGTGCGATTGAAGACGTGCATTTATAGAGAATTAAAAATTATTTCCGGATCACATAAGCTTGGGACCGAGCTAGTAAGGTGTGCATTTAGGGAAGGTACACATTGTCGTGCATTCATAAGTGAGTGATTACCTTTGTAAAGAGTCATTTATAGAGAATTGACTGCAATGCACGCGCGTATCTTGAGACCAATTTCAATGATTTTTATTCTCAAAAAAATAAAAAACAATTTACCTTTAATAAAAATAGATAAAAGTTTTTAAAATAAACAAAAAAAAAAAAAATTTTTTTTTTATTGTCATTTTAAGTTTGTATTGTTTGTATTTCGAATTATTTTTTTTCCCCTTTCTCTTGGCAAAAATTGATCATAGAATTTCTATTAATGGATTTTAACCAGAAAATTACTGGAATTAACATTAATTTATTCACTTTATAAATATTACATTCGCACGTATTATAATTTAATTTCCTTGCATAAATTAATTAAAAAAAAAAAAAAAAGTCGCAACATTTTCGTTCCCAAAGGGATTAGAATTTTATGATAAAAAAAAATAATACCATAATTAAGAAATTATGTGGGATGTTAAACATGCAATGCCAGTATTGAACCATTCCGACATCTATGTTTTTAAAAAAAAAAAAAAAATGAGTAATTATTTGTGGTTGATTTTTTGTTAATTTTTTTTAAAAAAGTAAACAATCATGCAGAGGATGAAACGATTTCAAAAAAATTCCAATTCATTCTCAAACGGATGTCATTTATTATTTAAATATCTCTTTTTACAGCATTGGATTTTCCCCGAAAAGTATTAACAGCATGGATTTAGATTTCCATAAATCGTCAAAGAAATCAAAAATTTAAGGGTTACCTAATTTAAAAAAGGTGAACAATTAATCATAGTCAAACGTGCATGTAAACATTAACTGATTAAAGTGTAGCTTATGTTTCTCCAGGATCTAAATTTCCTAAACATTTCATGATGATTAAGCCACATTCTTATGCGTGTAATACATCACATGAACGGAAATTACTCTTTTTGCGCAATCTTGCACAAAAAAAAATCAAAAAAAAAGGGTTTACAAAAGTGGTAAGAAACTCGCATTGAATAATTAAAATTTTTTTTTAATATGGTTTAATATAGTTT